ACTTAAGTTTGACTAACATACAAGAAGAAAATACTGACAGCCAGATGTTTATTTCTTGACGTTCACAAAAGTGTTTTTTTAAAGTTGCACTATTGACCGAACGATTCAGGGAAAGTGATTACTCTGCTCTGGTCTTCTCTGTAACTCATAGAAATATTTTTTTGGAACTTTTACTGGTTTCACTTACAAAGAACATCCGCACACTCGTTCTTACCAATTACATGCCGAATAAAGTGTTTTACTCCACTTCAAGTAAAAGACCACAAGAGCCTCCTGAAAGGTACAACTAGCACTTTCTCTCTGAAGGACATTGTCACCGAACCAACCGACTCGTTTTAGTTGTTTCAAATTGTTCAAGTGAATGATTAGCCATAACCAGTTTATAATCTCTTGGCCATAACTACAAGGATGAGTTTCCGTATAACCTCACACAACCATCTTAACGAATAATACAGTGTTTTTTGACTTCCCTTGAAATTGCTTGACTCACAAAAATGCAAATTTTAATTACGGACCTACAGAAGACTTTCTTTAAAATAAAGTAAATATTTTATTCTCATTTTCATGTGTAATTTTTTAACTGTGATTATAACTACTAGACTGTGAACATACATAATCTGAAGTGACAGGAAGCTCAATTCTATGATGTCACGAGTATATGTAATTGAGATTATTTCAAATTCTGGATAACAGAAAGTTGTGATGGTGATCAATGTCTTTTCCATTGCAGGACCCGAAAAAATGCTCCTTTAGGAGCCAAAAATATCAATCAAGGGCAAATCCAGGGATTGGTCGGTTGGTCCCAACCCTCCCTTCTCTCACCATCGGACCTGTGACATGGTGGATTTTTTATTTTTTGTTACCTGTCTGACCCCTAAATTCTGGCAACTACAAGATCGCATGTGACCTGGTTATACAAATCAATATGAAATATCTAAGGTTTACTTGTCTTGATATAATTGTCAGTTTATTTGGGCTACAGAGTAAAAGAGTTAGTTGCTTTCTGAATCAGTTTTCGGAATTCCGTGTCAAAATTTTTAGAATCCACACTTAAATATTGGAGTGTGATGACGACATTTGGTAACATTCAAGTATTCTTGATCTTTTATAATTTGTTGAAAATAACACGTGACCATTGTCAATATCACAGATTTCTCTGAGTCGTAAAGTTTTTTTAAAGCATCTGCACAGCTCCTACAATAAGGCAGCTATCTTATTGCCGCTGTTCTCTATTTATTTCGAGCAAGCGTTTGTGTATTTTAATTAATAACTTGTGGTCCTTTCTGTGTCGGCGGGCCGGGGAAGCACGAAGTTTGTTATCAATTTGGAAATAAAAAGCCGTATCCGTGTTGAGTTTCGACAATTTGACGTTTCAAGCAGCGGTCTGAATCGTCTGCCGGTGCAAAGAACTAAAGGCTAGCGTGCAAACAGCTAACCTTTCGAAAGTCATAATTTGTCATTTGGTTATTTGTTGTTTGAATCCTCGGCTTTGAAAACTAAAAAAAATTGCTGGACAACGGCCATCATGAGCTAGAAAATCAGAGGCCAGGTCTTATTTCAGATGACAGGAGTTAAAAGGCTTTTAGTAAAGATGCGCGTCTCGAGTACAGCCATGTTCCACAAGTTTGCGTGAAGTTTATTCGTGTCACCTGTTCTGAAATAGGTCTGACTTCTGCCTTACACTGAAAGAGGAATGGAAGTGAAGGAAACAGAAGTCCTGGCGATATACCAATCCCTACCTGTGACAGTCTATTCTGTGGCCAATTGTCGACCCTGTCTGAGTCACTTTTGGTAATACGGTAGAAAATGCCATATATGTAAAATATTATCTTGCCGCCCTTTCAACCATGTCTTTATATCCATTTTCCCCTTTCAAATTTCTTAAGAAATCTCAAAGAAATACAAAAACAGGTCGGTCAATATTATGGGTGAAATAAACACTATTTAGAAACAGGCTGTCTATTTCATGTTTACTGTGTCGTCATTTCTGGCCCATGGGAGGGGGAAACAGTTGTCGGTGTTTAAATTTAAGTTAAATTTAATACAAATGGGAGATCCTGGTGATAGTAACCAAGGACGCCATACGTAACACCAACCGAACCCTTATTTTTAAGGATAATTTACAATCAGCGCCAATGGCAGAGGAAATTCAGTCGGCCCAAAGGGCGGAAAAACAAAAAAAAAATGGGCCTAACTGATCATATAAAGATTGAAAACTGAATTTAGTTTTAAGCTGATCAAGGGAAAAAAATGGTTTCGTAATAAACTTTCACAGTCAATTGAAAATCATTTTTAGATATATGTAACACCGTATTTCCTCGAGTAACCACCCACACCCTAATAAGCCCCCTCCCCCAATAGGCGCCACCCCCTAGCCCATAATATCAAACAAGCGTTTTTTTCTCATTTTGTCAAACAGTTTAGATACGAGGAAAACCTGTATTTATTTCCATTTTATATATAGTTTCTTAGTAAGCGCCCCCCCCTCCCCCGCTTTTAAATAAGAGCCCAGGTGCTTATTCGAGGAAATATGGTGATTGAAATGCACAAGAATATGAGGAACTGACCCACAACATTTTTTTTGTGCACGCCAACAAGAGCTGCTATGGGCTCTTCAGTAGAGAAATGTAACATTTACCCAACCATGACCAGCGCTATTATAGCAACATTTTTTTTGTTGATTTGTTCCATTGTTAAAAGATCCTCCCCCTCCCCCACAGGAAATATCCTCATTAACCCCGCCACTTCCCCCAGTGTAACCACCACCACCGCCCGGTCCCTTGTTGAATGTACGTAAACCACCGCCACCTCCGAACCTACCAGAAAACTTTCCACCCTCTCCCCCCTGAAGATATCCTGAACCTCCTCTTCCCCCTCTTTTACTATAGCTCGTTGCGTTGTGTCCATTGCTATGGAAGCCGCTACCACCACCACCTGCAATACAATCAAAAAGTGATCAGTGATTCTCTTACAAATAGCACCCATAAATTTAATTTCTCGCGATCAAACGACGATCCGCGGTGTTCCGAAACTTAGTTTAGTTCTTTATTTTTAAAGTTTAATTAGTGGAGATTGTTAGTAACAAAAAAGCTCGGGAGGAAAAGTCAGCGTAAAAATGCTACAATTGACTCTTTATTTGTTTAGTTCTTCTGTTTAATCCAGATCTGCAGTTAACGAATGAGAAGCCTTGTCAAGTTTTTCGATGTCATCTCCTGCGTTATTTTTGCGGATCCATAATTCATTCGATAATTCCCTAAATATGCAGGAGATTTGAAAAGAAAAGAGCAAAATTTAACAAAATCCTAAGTCTTGTATGAGGCGCTTCAAAAGAATCATATAAAAAAATCTTCAAAATTGATATTTAAAAAATTTAATAATTACGGTTTTTATAAATCCTTCAAAATCTGATTATCAGTGACTTACTCTATCATTGGGTTGGAGATAGTGAAGGATGGCAATAGAATGCAACAAATTTCTCAGTATTTATAAAAAGGAAATTCTCCACCAACCAGAATTCACACCATTAGTAGGTCCTCCTTGTCCTTCTATTCCAGCTGACCCCAGTGGCGAGTTGTTCCCTGCATTCCCTGTGGTGTTTATGGACGCATCACATGCCAGATGTTGTTCTGACATATTTTTGATTCCCCCTCCACCTCCAGCTATGATTAGAGGCGTGTTGCTTCGTCTCACAACAAATGTACCTCCACCACCTCCAGAAGTTTTTAAGCTGGTCCTTCCTTCTGTTCCTTTTTGACCAACAAGTGTATGAATGATCTCATCTTTGGTCAAAATAAAGTTTCCCATCATTCGTACCCCTCATTCACCGTTGTTGATGATACTGTCCTCTCCGTACCCCCCTGAGGCTCCTATTACTTCTATTCTGTATTCGCCAGTGTGTGGCACAGTCCATTGTTGAATACTGCTGGACAATGTAACTTGCCCGTCGTGATCCTGACCTGTGTAGTGATTTCCAATTCGGACTGGACCCATACGTCCACTCTTACCAAGAGTTGTAAACACTGCTGTAAATCCTGTATAATAGTAGCTAATAATAATAGTTATGGTACTGCTAAGGAATTGTCAAATTGTTTTGGGTACTGCCATTATTGCACACTACCGCTTAAAAAAATATTCCTGTAAATTCGGCAGAATAAGATAACGAAGCAAAAAATCTCCAGAAAATCCCACTAACAAGTAAGACTTCCTAAGTTGATTATTTTCTTCCGAACCCATTAATAAGTATATCTTCATAACGGTATCTTCGCAGTGGCTCTGGTAATGAACATAGAATCTACTTTCAACCGCAAATATGTTGTCACTCTTGCTGGTTACCCCCAGGAAATTGGTGAATTCACCAAGCTGCATAGCTTTCAACGCTGCAAAATGCAAATCTGTCCACATCTTTAAGAAGAAAACTCCTTAAGTTGACCTTGGTTGACCTTGATGGACATCGCTCTAGTGTGTACCTTAAGCTTAAGACCTAAGCATCACTGATAACCGTGATCTCCAATGGGCAGAGCATGCAGAAGAAATCACCT